GGGCAACGGTCTGGTAACGACAGCTCCTGGCCAGGCGATCCGCGATCAAGCTTTCGTGCGACTTCCAACGCGAGCTAGCTTCCTCGATAGCTCCACGATGCTCGAAGGCGGTGATAGTTAGGCCCGAACGTCGACGGTTCTAGTTCGGATAGACCCCCTGGCCTCATACATGCGTCGCTAACGTCCCGACCGCCGAAGTGCGCTTCACCGTCGCGACGCCGCCGTTTGGACCGCCTGTGATGTAGTGCGCCGATAGTGGAGCCTGCAAAAATTAACAACGTTCGATCTGCGTTAGTTCTACCTACTAAATCCCTTCACTAAAGCTGCTAAGTACTGTACTTAGTACATTCTTGTAAATACTGTACAGCAATATTTCCCAACCTATGCGATGTATCATCTTTAATTCTGAACAAGTCACAAATTGCCGCCCTACGTCAAAGGAACATATGTTCATAAATGAACTACTTCTACAGAAGAATTAATCGATCAAAGATAAGTAACAGTCCCCGTTAAATTAACGCTAGATGTAACACTCCATGAAAGCAGTGAACCAATAGTACAACCATCGCACGATCTAACGATTAGCGATTGCTCGCGTTGGTCTGCTGCCTTTTACTCGCGGATTATTAGCAAACGATGGGATAATACCGAATGAAAAATTGGCCAGGTGATTTAATCGAGGCGATTAAATCGATTCCTTGCACAATCGCCCGCAGCAAAACTCGGTGCTCTAACTAGTTCAGGTGAGCGAGAGAATGCAGCCGAGATGTCGTAACTATGTCTTGGAATTTGACACACATTCACCGCTGTCATTGTACTAACCTGCGGTCCAGCTCCGTTCAAGGTATTCAAGCTATTCATTCTCATTGCTTGCGTGTAGGGTGGTGGTGCTGGTGTTACTCCCGGCACCGCCGTGTGCGGCGCGTGTCTCAGTTGTTCCGCCGCTGACATTCTATTGTTTCGCACAGGGGAAAAAAACGATCAGAATAATTTCTCGAACGCGGTAGACGGGCCGCGTGTGTCCCCGCCGCGGTTGTTACAAATGATCGCGATAACGGTCCGGGTCGGAGAACGCGGCTGTGCGGGCTCGCTCGGATTAATATTAAACGTGTCGAGCTGATCGAACCCGCCAGTTATAAATATTCAAGACGAACGATTCATAATTTACGCGGGATATAATTAATCCGGAGAAACAATTGGGCGCGTTGCAGCAAATCCGTTGATCAATAGCTCGTAAATATTGTAACGTTAACACGTGCCGCGTATTTACAGGCATTCTGCAGTACCCTCATTTTTATAGTCGATTGTTTTAACGAAACGGCCGATTAGCATATAACGCCTCTGGATCGGTTTACACAGAAATATTATTCGGCATTTACGTGACTAGCAATTTTTATCTGCATATCTTTGATAACGACGCTCCGCATGTATCATTTTTAGAAATTTATCATTTGGAAATTTTGGCTAAAGGAAATGTTTGAACGTTTCGAAATTTCTAACACGAGCGTGTTTTTCTATCCAAAGGAATTCGGACCATGTGCTGATCAGGCGCACGGTGTTATTCGCAGTCAAAGAGTTAAAATCGAATTTGCTAGTGTATCGTCTCTCTTAGTTATATTCCGAACGCGTTCTTCGCCACAGATCTCGCTTCCATCGATTCACGGAATATCACGTTCCCGACTATAATTCAATCGTCTTTGCTGCAATCCGCGCGCCTCTGTAGGATTACTGCGCTAAAACACAATTACGGCTGGTCAAAGGTTCCTGTATTACCCGACGCGTCGAACTAGATTGCGGACCCGATGACACAGACAACGACGCCGGTTCAATTGATACTCTGCAAGTCCTCCAGAAACTTTACCTGAGGTAGGGATTTCCATACGTTGCGGAGAAACGAGGGTCGATCGCGGGGGTCGTTTGCGGGCTCGGTGTGCCCAAATTCGCGGAACTCAAACCGATCTTCTTTGACGCCAGGATACCACCCGATGGTATCCTGCTTAAAGATTCTCGCGACGCACCCACCCCTTGCGTCGTGGGTGGCATGTAGTCGCGTGTGTAGTCCACGTATGGCACGTAACCGTTGTTGTTACTGCCATCCTGCAACGGAAAACAATAACAAAAGTATTAGCGATCCATTAGTCCAGGACATTTTTACCATGAAATATTATTCGGCGACCTATATTTTTCAGTGTGTTTTTAAAAATGTCCGCCTGGGTGAACCTTAAAAATCTTACGGTGATATGAAACAATTATTCGCGAATATCTCGTTTTCTGTTTGTTCTATGATAAAAATAGTTATTAGAGAATTTGTAGCTTAGGAAGTTCTCTATAAATGAGTTATGTATGTTTTTTTTATAGGAGCAATTGTTTTCTTCTTTATACGCGATGCAAGATTAACTGATTAAGTACAATGACGAGATAAAATTCAATACTGTCTGACGGGAATTATTCCATAAATTGTTAATATTTTTATTTCGTTTCCATGGAAATGGGATTTGCGAACAAACGACATCTTTCTATATGATAAACTCGAATATCCGAAATATGGGATTCATTCTTTCGACACGACACAAGGTTATTACATTATTTCACTGGCTTTCGTGCTCGCCCGACATTAACTTGGCTCAGTGACTCACGAAATTTGCTATTAGTCTAATGAGTCTCAACGTTATAATTCGTACAAAAATTGGGACCGCTATTAATTATTTTAATGGAAACGTTCGAAACACGGTCAAGCTTCGGATGTTCCACGAGTTTCAGTATTTGAGGACAATTTTTGAGGATTGTTAATTAAATTGTGCCGGATTAATTTCCTGGTTATTTCGCGTTGGTGTTTTTTTTAGCGATAAACTGGATTATATGGACGGTATAAAATGTGTATCGCTCACGTTGTTCTTCGGCGGGAACGAAGGTTCCGTGTAATCGGCGCTGTAACGATAACCCAGAGGATTCGGAACAGGGCCGGCCAGCGCCAAAGCATTGACACCTCTCGTGCTTCCTTCGCCCTCGCTGTCAAGTGCTGTCACGCTTTCTGCGTTGCTGACACTCGAACCCGCTCGTATATCCGCTTTGACATCGGAGAGGTTGCTGCTTCTATCGCTCTCTCGATATCGATCCGCGTTCGAATCTGTTTCTTCTGTCGAACAAAATCGGCTGACTAAAGACGAAGCTCCTATTTCGACTATTCTTTGACATACTACAATTTCAAACTGGTGCACAAAATAAAAAGAACTGGTTTATTCAATTGTGCAACGAAAGACTGACACAAAAGTATCGACAAATATTTACGTCACATTAATTTCGAATTTCCGTTGAAATTACGCGAGTCCTTCAACGATGGCTGGTTACCGCAATGACTGAAATATAGGAAATCTGACATCCCGTACCTCGTATTTCATACAGGACGTTTCAAAGATTATGGACTTTCCGTAACGAATAGATTCCTTATGTCAGACATTTATGCAATAAATTAAGCTTGACATTTTCCATGTTTTAAAAAACGCGGTATATGTTACAGTTATCTTCTAAATGATTAATCGCAAAGTAACGCGAGAAACAATTGTATGGGTGGAGTCGAGCAGAATGCAATCAAGAGAACATTTTATGCAAACGAGCGCATAATTCTATTCAGATAAGCTTGTTATGAAACCGTAAATCGTATCTGGTATGATCACCGCGAAAGAAATGAGCAATAAACCATAAACAAACGGTTTAGAAAGGATTGGAAGGACTAAGTATGAAACTCGTTTGCATTCAATGACACATCTCTCAGCCGGGGTCGTTAACGGCAGATACAGAAGGCAAAGAATCGAACGGGCAGAAACGACGAAATTACGAGTCACGAATGGAAAAACAATGGGAAACGGGGACGCGAATAATGGCGTTATAATTCATTCGAACATGATATTCCACTCACGCATATCAGTCTCCTGGGTCTGGGCTGTCCTGGGCCGTGGCTGTTTGATGCGGTCGCGGCATTGCAGAATGAGTATAACGATCACGCCAATCAGGATCACGCAGATGACCAGTCCGCCGATGATCAAAATCAGTTGCCAATCGACTGGAATCAACGCTAAGCGTCACGGCTGATTAAAATCTCACCTGTATCGCACGAAGGCTATAACGTGGCGTTTAATGATCGCCGCCAAAATAAAATTGAAACTGCAAATTCGCGGCGTCGAATGCGAACGACTGCTTAACGACGCGGGCTAAATTTCGCCGGGCGCAAAATGGGCCTGTTAATTGAATCCAAGGGAATTTACTACCCTACCGGTAAAAATTTACAAAGCATTGAAAAACACCGGCAACGGAATTTGCAAAATTTCGAATATCTCGAAAGAATCTGACGAGATACGAGTATAAATTTTCCTAGGTTACGGATAACTTCGCCTAGGCTCACCGATAAATTTGCTTACGTTCGCGGATAAATTTACGAACGCTTGTTTACGTACTTTTTGAAAATGGTAAAAATATGTGCGCGTTCTAAACGGGAGACAGTGACAGGTACGATGAGATATATCACGGGAAACTCAGATTTCGAGTTGCATTTATCCTCGTCGCGTCGGTTCGGTTTTAAGCTGGACGCATTAAAAAATTCATGCGCGTTCCGTATCGCGTGCGAGCCAACAAATTGATCGAGTGGATCGCATAGCGTTTCGAAAAATGCAAAATCAGATCGATCGGGATCTCGAGTTTTCGTTTCAGCAAGATTGACGTAGGGATTCTGACGGTAAATCACGAAACCGGCCATTGAAATCTTTTCCAATGTCAAACTTGCAAATGAAAAAATTTGCGTTTTGGGAATTTGAGTTCGAGACGTTGTTAGAATTCGCAACATTTTGCCGGGAGTCTTGTCGAGCGGAAATCTGGCAATTTCGCGAGCACGCGAAAAAGCGCGAGTCGAACGAAAATACGAACCGAAGAGAAACGTCTGTCGTTTATAATGGATATGAACTTACTGTGTGCCGTCAGCTTGATTATGACGGAATCCGTGCCGAAGCTATTCGTGACCGTGCAGTTGTAATCCCCGAAGTACGTGGATATGGGATCGAGCAGCGTAACAGTGCTGACGACCCTCTCGCCGGTGTATTCCTCCTGCACGTAGAACGGCGTATTGTTCGAGGAGAAATTGAGCTCGCGACCGGCGAAGCTCCATACCACCGAGTCCGCTTTTGGCACAGATATCGCGATACACTTCACCTGCGAAATCGTGGAAGAACAGCCGAATAGAAAGGGAGGAAAAAAAAGGTCCACGGTTTGTCGCTTGCCCTCTTCGACGAATCGACCGATACTCTTTCACGCGACTTCCCTATTTCACCTTTTCTACCCTTTTGCATCGCTGCGTGTTGTATCGTGCAGAAATGAAAAGTTGGCGAGACGCTGCGAAATGGGGACAGCTTGCAGAAAATATGCGAACCTTGACATTTTCATTTTTTTGATTTGGGGTATTCAAAATTTTAAATTTGGGGTTTGGAGTTTTAGAATGTCAGATCTTTGGAATTTTGCAAATTTTATTTTTTCGACTTGGGGCGTTCGAAATTTTGGGTTTGGGTTCTGGAGTTTTGGAATGTCAGATCTTTGGAATTTTGCAACTTTTATTTTTTCAACTTGGGGCGTTCGAAATTTTGGGTTTGGGTTGTGGAGTTTTAGAATGTCAGATCTGTGGATTTTGCAACTTTTATTTTTTCGACTTGGGGCGTTCGAAATTTTGGGTTTGGGTTTTGGAGTTCTGGAATGTCAGATCTGTGGAATTTTGCAAATTTTATTTTTTCGACTTGGAGCGTTCGAAATTTTGGGTTTGGGGTTTTGAAATTTTGGAGTGTTAGATCTTTGGAATTTTGCAATTTAGTACTTTGGTACTTTGGAAGTTTAGGACCTTGCAGGTACTACTTGTGGGAGATTATGGCACTTTGGAACATTGGGACTGTGGAACACCAGATATTTGATCTTTGACATTCTACGCTGTATACATTTGTGATTTTGGAAATTTAGAATTTTCAGACCTTTGAGTCCTTTTCCATCTTCGAACATTTGAGCCAAGTGCTTTTTGAATGTTCAGATCTAGATCAGTTTGAGTGCAGACAAGGTCCATAATAGTTCGAGAAGTTCTGATCTACATAAACCCTAGTTAGACCCAAGTTAGAGTTTCAACTTCGATGACGAACCATAGGTACTTGTAGACGCAATAAAGTCTCGTTAACTGACCGGGAAATTGTCTTCGGAGACTCTATCATTCATTGCAACAAATAATTGACGCTGTTTCGTGCCCCACAATATGCACATCAAATTACAAGTTCATCTGCATGAAATTCCATGTCAGCTTTTAAAGTGGCTTAAATAAAAGTTCGCAATAATAATCCTATTAATCCATAAAGGAATGCCGGTAAACAGTGCCTAACCCAGATATCCGCCCTATATTTCTACAGCCCACACGCGACGGTACAAGAAAAATGGAGGACAGAAAAAAAAATACGTAGCTCATCGATATTTAACCGATCTATGGGTGTTCCCCTATATACTAGCCTACATTTCATCGAAAAATATCCGCACACGTTCTGCAGTCTCGACAATTCGTTACATAGATTTCGAGACGGCGTGTCTGTTCTCGTATATTTTCCATAAATGCCTCGTTTCGATTCCCGCGGGTCAAGTTATGGCATGGATAAATCGTACCCGCGGACCATTCGTCGATTTTGTACGGGACGCCGAAAACCAAACGCAAAACAAGGGATGGAAAAACAACTATGCAGATATCTTTCATTGATGGGAACTCGCTGTACTGCTATGGCTTTTTCTACAACCATAAGCCGGGTGTTCATCGATCATTCGGGGAAATAGGACTTGTATGGTTTCGGGGAATGGAATTTGTAAATTAGGGTAGTAGGGATTTGGGGTGTTGGGAATTTGGGGAAGTGGAAATTTTGGAAGGTGGAAATTTGGGGAGTTGGGAATTTGGGGTGTTGGAAATTTGGGAAGGTGGGAATTTAGGGAGATGGGAATTTGGAGTGTTGGAAATTTGGGAGGGTGGGAATTTAGGGAGATGGGAATTTGGAGTGTTGGAAATATGAGGAGGTGGAAATATTGGAGGGTGGGAATTTAGGGAGATGGGAATTTCGAGTATTGGAAATTTGGGAGGGTGGGAATTTAGGGAGATGGGAATTTGGAGTGTTGGAAATTTGGGAGGGTGGGGATTTAGGGAGATGGGAATTTGGAGTGTTGGAAATTTGGGAGGGTGGGAATTTAGGGAGATGGGAATTTGGAGTGTTGGAAATTTGAGGAGGTGGAAATTTGGGGAGTTGCAAATTTGGGGTGTTGGAAATTTGGGAGGGTGGGAATTTAGAGAGATGGGAATTTCGAATGTTGGAAATTTGAGAAGGTGGAAATTTGGGGAGTTGCAAATTTGAGGAGATGGAAGTTTGAAGTGTTAGAAATTTGAGATGGTAGAAATCTGTAAGTTGGGAATTTGAGGATTTCAGATATGAAGAATTGATAATTTGGTAATTTGAGAATTTACAAAGTTGAAAATTTGTCCAGTTACCAATTTGGGGACATGGACATGAAATTCAAGAATTGAATATACATTAATCCAAAAATCAGATAACTTCTACTCTCTAACATCTCTGAAAAAAACCACCTCTAACACCTCATCACCAAATTCCAGAGAATAGCAAAGTACCTTGACAACTTCCTCATCAGGAACGTACTGCACCCTCTGCGACACGATGCTAGGTGGCGCCCGTATGTAGATGTTGGCGTACCCCGTCAGATCCGGAAAACCAGGCACATTAGCAGTACACCTATACTTTCCGGCAGTTTCGTGATTCACAACCACGCTTATGTTAGGCGTGGTGGCGACTTGTCGATCGGAGTCTTCGTGGAACCAGTGTATCTCAGGGGTCGGGTTCCCGTCGACGTCGCATTGCAAAATTTCTGTGGCGCCGTATTGCGTCTCCACGGAGACTGGTGGGTGTCGGAACTGCGGCCCGTCTGTGAAATTCAATTTTGACCTCGGCAATCCCTCGAGATTGATATTAGGGATGAAGAGAAAGGACAAGGGGAAAAAAGAGTACAATTGTTAGCGTCCCGAAATCGTTCCATCTGACTCGTTTTCGAGATCGTTTACACGGGATCATGCTCACCCTTTTTCTTGGCTAGCGGTACTAAATCGAATGCTCTTAGGAAATATGCTGACGAATACTTTATTTCTCGGACTATTGGTTCTAATAATTCCTTTCAGAAAAGTTAGCATTAAATTTTCAATACTTGCAAATTCTCAAAAGGAATCAAATTACATGTGAATTAACACCTTGAAGAAAGTATACATTGAGTGATCTAATGTTTTTGAGCAATATATCCGAGGGTTCAATTTACCCGACCCTATTTTCGTGTGGCATTAAGGCACGCCCCGGCTAAATAATGCGACGAGGTCGAAACGTCCTCGTAAATGAACGAGCGAGATGGAAAAAGCTCCGGAGTCAGCGAATAATAACGCGGCACGGCCGATCCGCGAGCTCGTAAAGCTATCCCGTTCGAGCAACAACCACGTAATCCCGACATACGAGGTTGTTTCGATTCCCCTTAAGCCGAACTAAAAGTTGTCGTTGAACGGGGTCAACCTGTATGGGTCACTCACACGTGATGTCCAGGGTCTCGGTTTCCTCGCTCTTGCCGACGTCGTTGTGGACCTCGCACTTTACGATCGCGTCGTGAAGATCGCGGGTCGCGTTGTGGATGATCATCTCCGTCGTGTAGTCGCCGATCACCTTCTTCTCGTTGATGAACCACCTGGGAAATCAGAAGGATACAACATGACGGACGTGTAATGTGCTGAATAACCAGCGCACGATTTCCGCGCAAGAACCCGCCCATCAATCGTTCGCGCAAAAACTTGCAGATAATTATCAATTTTTTCCGATTTTAACACCTCTGCACTACATTTCTTGCTCCACATTTCTGCACGCTAGTTTCCTGCATAGCTTTCTTATCTGTTAGAGTTCTTTTTAGCGGGAATGGACGTGGGAACGGGAATACTATTACGTAGCAACTTTGTGGATCTATGAATGGATTGCGAAGTTGATAATTATAGCACAGTCACGGGGCTGATCTGATGCGTGGCGAATTTGATGCACAAGAGATACTACAAGAATTTTTTCCTAACGCTCGAATCTAACCTCGTGGTAATACGATCTGGTAATCTCAGCACGGAGCAAATCTACAGCTTAGCAAATCCGACGCGTTGCGAATGCAGTGCGTGACGATTCTAACGCGCTGCGAATTTAACGCACTGCATATCTAGGGAAATGCAAACTGACGTATTACTGACTCCTCAAATATCTCTCATTTTGAAATTGAATTGAGATCTCCCTAAATTCCCACCCTTCCAAATTTCCACCTCATATTTCTAACACTCGAAATTCCCATCTCTATAAATTCCCACCCTCCCAAATTTCCATCTTCTCAAATTTCCAACACTCCAAGTTCCCATCTCCCTAAATTCCCACCCTCCCAAATTTCCAACACTCCAAGTTCCCATCTCCCTAAATTCCCACCCTCCCAAATTTCCACCTCCTCATATTTCCAACATCCTAAATTCCCACCCTCCCAAATTTTCCCTAAATTGCCACCCTCCCAAATTTCCAACACTCCAAATTCCCATCTCCCTAAATTCCCACCCTCCCAAATTTCCACCTCCTCAAATTTCCAACTCCCCAAATTTCCACCTTTCCAAATTCCCACCTTCCAAAATTTCCACTTCCCCAAATTCCCAACACTCCAAATTCAAAAATCATTTCTAATTGTTAGCCGTTTTTCACCAGTTACTCACACTCCCCAAAAACAACCAGCATGAAATGTGTACCGACAAAATTTCTAAAGAAAGCAGTTAACACTTCGACTTTATTTGTCTGAGGCAAACGCGGCATACGAATGAAATCGCGAACCATCGAGCGAGCAACAAGACAACACACACGAGCGGCTAACATTGTCCTAAACTTCGCATTGTGCTCTGTTTGAAACGAGCATCAATTATTCCCTCGCTATGTGGTACGATCGATTGCTTGCTAATTCTCCTTTTGTCCCGCGTGCTGTCGGACCACTCTGTTGCCGGTTCGATAAAGCAATCGTTCCTCCGCTTCGCCGCTAAAAACGTTCAAATTAAGCATTCTCTACAGAGTAGGTCTGTGACCGCGTGCGTTCGCCGTTTTGTCCGCGTACTCCCCGATCCTGGCTAATAGATAACGCGTTCTGTGCGCCGTGTAAAACACGCTGGATTAAACGGTACGGTAAATTGGAACAAAAAATACGCGCGAATCAGCTGAAGGTACTAGCTGTTCTTTTCGTTCGACGAGGTATCGATAGACCCAAAAAAAAAACGATCGAATTGCTTTTTTGAATTGTGATATTCAATAGTATGAGCCTTTATATTATTGCAGTAACCTAACATAGTGGTTCTGTTCATTGTAACGCTGTAGATTTATTATACATAGGTAACGTAAAAAAGGTAGTAGTAAAGAAGAGGAGAATCGGTGCAATTACCAGAAACGGTTGTCCGTGAAAATCGTACATAGAGTGAAGATTCAAAGAGTTAAAAACAGGTCTGAGAAATACGAGCAGCATCGGCATCGATATGCAGTCACACGTAACAACAACGTTCCAAATTCGAGGGGCGTTCTTGCCTTGGGTATCGATCATCAGCCACCCAGTTTGTGCCTCGCCAGGGGCGTACGAGGAAGCAGAACGAGGAATTCGTGTTACACCACCACTCACCTGTACTCGACATTCGGTGGATTGGCCTCGGCACGACATTTGAAGCGGAGCTCGCTGCCCTCGACGATACGTCCATTCTTGCCCAGGCCCGAGCGGATCCTCAAAGAGACCTTCGGCGCGTAACGGACCTGCAATCGAAGACACGTCTATTCGATAACTGTGCAGGAGGATATCGAACACGAGATTCCCCAAGTGTCACGTGAACCGATGCTCAAACTTTCATGAGTATCGTCGTCGCGTACGATCGATCGTCCTCGAGCACCGCGACGGCGCTCGCGTGACGCCCGGAACACTCGACGCACTTTATTTCGACGACGAACGTAATTTCTCGACAATTAATATAGCGCGTTGACAAGCTGCCGAGTAAACGATGCACTCGACAACCAGCCATCACGCGTTCCTGTTTAATTATCCTTCTTCGGATACGTGCTTACGGCTACTCCTTCATGCTTCGGTGCAATCTACGGTTCTTAAAGTTAAGTGGCGAGAAATTACTGTTTTTGGAATTTTCACATATTGCAACTATTTGTTTTTGGGATTTTTGGACTTTTCGGGTTTCTGGGTTTTGTTGTTTTGGGAGGGTTGCTGAGAACTTGGGAGTAGGGAACATTGGGGTTCTAAGACTTTGGGGATTCGCTACCTTGAGATATTAAAGACTTACGATTTTGGGATATTAGAATTATGAAAACTTGGGATTTGTGGACTTCTTGAGGAAATCTTGAAGAGGTAGGATCTTTAGGTTTTGGGATTTCAGGACCTCTAGAGGTTTAAAACTTAAGGAAATCTTGATGAGGTAGGATCTTCAGGTTTTGAGATTTCAGGACCTTCGAATCTTGAGAACTTGAGGAAATCTTAAGGAGATAGGATCTTCAGATTTCAGAATTTTATGACTTCTCAGCTACTTGTGTCTATAATCTTGAATTATACAAAAACGTCAGAAGTTAAGAATCCTAGGACGTTGACATCCAGACAGTTTGATTTTTGGAACAGTTTAAAACTTCATAACTTTGACTTTTTCGGATGTCAGTTTCGGTATCCGATATCTCAGGACTTTTCTAAATGTTCGGATTCTGAGATCTGATTTCAGAATTTTAGATATTTGATATTTCGGTAAATTTAAAACTTGCTGCTATTCTTGAAGAATCCGATTTTGTTTTATTTGAATTTTCTAGGGTTACTCACCTCGACGCGTAGCTTCGCGTTCTGCGGCGTGCGGTCGGCCGCGTTCTGACTTTGGCACGTGAACGTCGTGTTGTCGTGATCCTTGCGAGGCATCACCCTCAGAACGGATTTCACGGTGTACAGAGGCCCGTCGTCGAACAGTTCCTTGGTCGTTTTAATGCCTCTGTGCAGTACGTTCCCCAGTCCGTCGATCCACGTGATCTGTAACGAAAAAAACAACATACAACATATGTACACTTAAAACAAATATAGTACACCGTACACTCGTATCAAATAATTACTAATATCTGTTCAGATGTGAATGAAATTGATTCAATTTACAAAGAAGTGAATGACATCTAATTAATCATTGAAAGATTTCCGAACGACAATTATTAATTCGGTCTAAATTTACTTTTATCAATAACCGATCGTTAAACAAGTCTGATTCGATCGTCTTTATTTTTACTCTCCACAGAATCATTTATTTAAGCCCAACGTTGATTACAGAGTATTAAATAATTTCAGCAACGAGAGAAACCATTTAGTTTTTAAAACGACATGCAAATTTCGGACCCAGACTGTTTCCGTTTCGAGACCATTATATCTGCTTCGTCGTTGATCATTAATTTAAGGCAGTTGCTTCGTTCCGTCAAAGAAGTCCACCGGATTTTCCAAGTAATGGCTTCGGTGAGTACATTAGAAGTTCAGGCGAATAGGTAGGGCGGAAACTCTCCTATCGGAAGTTATTTCATTATAACGGACGTTGCGATATTTTATGCAATAATTCGGCTACAATCGATCCTCCGGATCGAGCTTCGACCGCTCTTGAAAGTAGCTGGAAGCAGCTTCCGGCGACCACGAGCTTTCCAAACTTTCGGATTTTCCTTCAAATTAATTCAATCTACCTGATTGAATTTTCCTTCGTCAATGACCTATTAACTCCACATATGTTCTGCACAACGATGATTGTCAGTAACATTGTTCATCAATGACAATTGTCAATAAAATTTTGTAAGAATAGTATAACAAGTATACGAAAAAATGTAATATTCAAGTATATTTTTTCGGGTCCTTTAAATTTTTCCAAAGAACGAGATCTACGTTTACTGATAGTATTCACACACTGGATTAAGAAAACTTTTAGTAACTTACAATAATTGTGAACTTTAAAATGTATGGAAATTGGAAATGTAGAGATTTACAGATGCAGGGAATTTGAAGTCTAAATTTCTAAATTAATGTTTACCATTTATAAAGAACCTGATCCATCCATTTTTACAAAATTTCGCCCCCAATTGTTTGATAAAATTTATACGAGATTATTTGCTCCCCACGCGATAAATATCTTGTTATTTTATTAGCCCGATTAAAATATCTCTTTCCACCGATAAGGACATAATAATAATAATAATAATTAACAAGAGGCTGTGAAATCGTGTATCATGGATAATTAACCCTTTGCGGCTGTACGTCCAACGTAATTGATCATCGATTTTATTCTGGCGGACTGTAATGTCCAATATGATTGGATATTACATTAATCAGCATATGATTGGATTCTGTTTGTGCTGTATAACTTCGTGTGCATTTGTAACGATGCTCTAATGAAAGACACAGCTTTGCGAAGAACAATGTACATATATTTACTGTTCATTCGATTCAGTTCATAAATACCAGAATGCAGATTGAAAATAAATAGAAATCATAAGCTGTACATCGGTAAATTAATTGTTAATAACGGTATTGATGTATTATTATTTCAATGATAATCGTTGAAATTGTTATCCATTGTAAAAGCAGATTGTAGTCAAATCTGAGAAATCGAGTAGGAGAAATATTTTTCCCGAAATTGTCGTTAAAATCGTAGGGAGGAAGTTGAACTTGTAGTTCAACTGCAGTTGATGTATTATTATTTGAATGATAATCGTTCATTCAGAATTTATCCGTTGTACGAAACGGATCTGAGAAATCGAGTATGAAAAATATTTTTCCCGAAACTGTCGTAAGATTGTAAAATCGTGGGGAGGAAGTTGAACTTGCAGTTCTTTCCGGCCGCTAATTAGCCAGGCGCGCGATTAAAGCGGCACAGTTCGCGAAAGAAACATCAAACGTTTGCGGAGGAAAGCTGGAAAATCGAAGCTCGCGATCGAGTACTTGTTCGACTATCCAGATAATGAAAGCGCGCTCATCGCCGAAAAAATCTTCTCCAGCTGCATTTGACGAGCATCGCACACTTTTCCAGGAAGCTCCTCCATTATTCGTCTGGATGATCCGAGTGTGTGTACGTGTACACGCGAGAGTGGTTGCTCTACCGTAGCTGCACCGACGCGAATCGATCGTATCGTCTATAATTAGGCATGCTGCGTCAGTGCTGCTGCACTCTCCTATCGCTTCGAGTTCCGAGTTCCCTTTGCTCGAGCACTATTTACGACACTTACCACCCAATGTACACACACACACGTCGGTTCAAAAGTTGCACCTACTAAAATTTCACGAAAATCCGAAAAGCGATCTCATTAAAATGACTGGATATAACGCGGTCCGCTGAAGTTATCGATCCAATCTATTTTTTTATAGATGGAGGTAAACGTTCGATCAATTATGTATTCTCTTGCATTCTTTATAGCTTGCTTCCAACGTTCCAGTAATTTTATTTCACGGTAAAAAAGTGACTTTAAACACATTTTTTATATGCATGATTTTACACGTTAGCTAGTCAGCCATTTTATGGGGATAAAGTAGTTCGTACTTTATACAATAATACATAATTCCATTAAATGCTCGAAAGTATTTAAATATCTGAATAATCGATACCTCGCTTAAAATAAAATTACTATTCTTTAGCGATATAATTTTTCGCGCAATTAAATTTTATTTCAGATCGATAGGAATTAAACGAAATTCGAACATTCATCCACTAGCTACAAAAATTTAAAAGAAATAGGTACGTGTTTCAGTGTCCATAGATATGCAACAGTTCGCAATTAAACAGTTCGTAACGAGGACTATGCCTATCGAGTACACGTCAGTTAAGACGCGTTGTAATTTTAATAAACGCGCAGCAATTACGCGGCTAAAGTGGAAGACGAACAAAGGGAAAGAAGCAGAGGAGAAGATAAAAGAAGAGAAAAAAATAATGACGCGAGATCTTCGGGTCTGGATGGACGGTCTTTGAAATTTCTTTCCTTGCTCGATGAATATTCGATGAGCGCCTCCACCCCTTGGCAAAGGAACTTTTCTTCTTGCGTCTTCGCTCGGGAAAATATACGTACTCCGCGTAGCGGCCTTACGTGCTAGAACTCGCTCGAGAACGGTCACCGACTTAATTCCAGCTTCGTCGGCGATCAGGCAAGTGGCCATTGGTTCGTGGATCGTCCATCTTCAGGGTCAATACGAAATCATTCAGAGGGATGATAAAAGACCCTTCTCGGATTCGGTTAAAATTTCGGATCTCATAGAATTTTCGTACTTCAACTCGAAGTTCGTACTCGAACTTCAATACAACGAGGTTCAGCTAATAGTAAATCCAGTCTATTTTAATTAGAAATTGATCAGGAAGTGACACAATTTACAAGAAAACTGGACCTTCTTTCCAATTTATCAAATTTCTAACCTTTAAGATTTAAAACCTCAAAGTCTTCAATTTCTAAATATCCAAATTACCAACTCCTCAGATTTCCAAACCTTAAACTTTGAAATTCAGAAACTCTACACCCCAATTCTGAAACCTGAATTTTTGAATCGCAATCCCCGAGTTTCCTTTCCGAACCCGCAAGTTCTCCAATTTCCGAATCATCGAATTACCAATCGCTCAAATTTCCAAATCCCTTTGCAAGTTTCTAATCTAACCTCATACAACAATTCCAGCGCCAATGAACGTCCCAATAGTCGGGGCGATCGAAGAATATCTCGCTTCATCAGTGAAAAGCGAACGATCGATCGCGAATATAAACGTCAGAGCTGTTCGATCTTCCACCCCTCTTCCTCCCCTAAATAAATGCACCGTAAACGTTCGTGGCGGCGTTCACCGATTCTTCCGTCGAGCGATTTTTTACGACCTAAATATCCCTATGATGGACGTGAGCCGATCGTGCCCCACTCTCGCCCCTTTCTGCGACATCGTGCCTCCATAACCTTGGCACCAGTCGTTTATTTCCAGCGCAGCCTCCCCTAACGCTCTTATATTTTTATAATTCCATGTAAGCGGGTAATCTCTTCGAAGGTTTCCGCGCCGGTTCGTTAAAGGGTGCTTTATACTCCTTTATGGAATTAATTAAGAAGCGGGGAACGACGCGTTGCATGGAAAGAGATAACAAGATGGCGCGAGAGTCTCTTCGATGAAATCAACTATGTTTGCCTCGGTTTAAAAATACGATTTACGAGGGGTTTCAAACAACTTTAATTTTCAAACTCATGCACGTCAGTTTCATACGACATTTTGTGCAAAAAATTCGTAGAGATTTTATCAAAATCGATGGATTGATAGCCAGGGGTTAATTTATAGGTCTAAACTGGAAATGAAATTTCGAGCCGTCTAAACACGCGACATTTCCGATTCGACGAATCGAAGCTATTCATCCGTGGTTGATTCACGGAAACGACTGAAAGGAATAAATCGCTTCAATCAGCTTGTCTATGTAGCGACGTCGAATTAGAAGCGTTTAAGCGTCACGTGTTTCTATACGAGGCCACGTCGTATGCCAGTCTTATCGACGTTAATTGGAAAAGCAAAGGATGCACGAGATCCCGTTGGCAATTTAGAATCTCCAAGCAGCGGCGCATCTAAGTCCTTCTTCGTCTGCTTTTCACTTCGACTGTTCAGCCCCTAACATCTCAAACTTATCGCGCGTTTCACGCTCCGGGAAAATGATAATATTAGTCGCGAGTTTCTTACCCGAGACGTAACTTACAACGAGATTCATTGTGTTTGTTCGTTATTAACGCGATCAAAACAACTCTCGGAGAATGCTGTCGACGAATTACGAACGAGAAATAGAGAAATCGAACGATTGAAACGGGGGGGGTGGATGATCGTTCATCTGTCTCACAGTTTCGCGTTTAATTGCGTCCCGACCAAGTAATTCGATCGAATAAATTGGCCACGCGACGCTTCCTAACGAGCAGCTTTCTGCTCCAACGGCTGGCGAGTTAGAACTTTCGGCTAGCTGGCTTGTTTTCGGACCAGTCCCATGTGTCGGCCGTTTCGTCAGATGTGTTAC